TTAAGTTGTTTTTGGCAGAATATTTTTTTATCATACTAACAGAGGAGAAACTAAGACAATGAACGTTTTAACACTAGCTAGTTCATTTGAGTGATGTGTTTCTTTTGTATTAAGGTGACTATCTTAAATGAGCTAGTTAGTGAACTAGTCATTTATAGTTTAGCCACCAAGCGTATCAAGCCTGAAAAATAGAAGAATAGAAAAGAAAGGAAGGCAACACTCAGAATACTGTGTGTTCATCTGTTCTTCATTTGCTATGAAATATCTCCGTCAGGCTCATGTTTTGAATACTTGATCCCCAGCTGGTGGGAACTATTTTGGGAGGCTGGAGAAACCTACAGTGTGGGGTCTACCTGAAAGAACTGGGCCACTGGGGATAGATTCTTGGTGGCACATTATCCCTGACCGCTTGCTATCTCTTGACTTCCTGTCTAACGTGAATAAAGAATTCCCCCCATCAGTCAAGCCTGGTGACCCATGCCAATCCCAGAACTTGAAAGACGATGAAACAGGAGAATCTAGAGTCCAATACTATTGGTGCCAGTCCAGGGTATACAAAACCTCTCTCAAAGTAGAAAGGCAAATGATAAAGCAAAAAGAAAACGAGCTTCGTCCACAAAGCGTCCTTGCTATCTTCCATGTTCTGCCCATGCACTGGAGGACAAGAAAGCATGCATGAATCCCGTGAAAGTGATCAGAATAAAAGGATCATTCCTCTTTCAGGGTGTTTGGTCAGGTGAGGGGATAAATACAACATCTTAATCCACTCAAATAGTTTCTCTTCAACAGCTGTATGACATTTAATAACCACAGCAAGCAAGCACGTTAACAAGGCAGACAGCATCTCCTCTGGGGTGTAGGTTTTAGTCATAGTTTTTAGTACATGAGACAGACAACACACACCAACACTTATGGCTTCCATACAGAACCTAGCACTGCCATGCATGTGGAGCAGGTGACTAGACATGTTGGTATTCTTCTGTTCTTCCATTTCTGTAATCTGTGTGAATAATTGTGGCAAGACCAGAGACACATAATATCTCTAACTTTGTTGATAAGTTTGGGTCCCTGATCTTCTTCATGCGGGGGCGGGGAGGAGAAACAGAGAGAGAACTGTACTATTTGACATAGCGATTGCTTAAAGAAATCTTCTCCAGTGAACCCCCTCAAAGGTCCACCAGATTCTCTCATCTGCTTTTGATTTGAACTTCAGAGTATCACCGATAAGTGAAAGTTTTCAATATAAGAATCTTTTAACAAGGGTTTTGTTGCTGTTTTGTTTTTTTGCCCATGAGGAGAAAGTTGTAAAATATTGTAGAATGTAATGTTGAGTTATGCTTAGCCATGTTTCATGCCTTTCCCTCAGTTTAGGGACTTTTTAATGTGGAATTTGTTTAATGATGTATATTAGCACAGGGCTGGCAGTCACTGCGCTACCCAAGATAATTCTGCATGTAGGGTCTGGGGATATAGAGACATGGCTCAGTGGTGAAGAACATGCTTAGTATTTGCAAGTCAGTCTTCCCCAACCACTGCCACTGCTGCACACTGCCCACCAATTCTGGGGTCATGGGAATGTGCAGGCATGAAAGACTTTATAGGGTTACTGGGTTTTGAATTCAGGTTTTCATGCTTGCAGAGTAGGTGCTCTTAACCCATCAGCCATTTCTGCTGCCCCTGTTTTTGCTTTTAGACAATGGATCCTACCCTTGTCCTGGCATCAGATTAAACCAAGTTTACAGTTCTGAGAACATATATGCAAGTAACATTATATAGACTCTGATGGTTACAATTAGGATATATACTCATATATATATACATATACACAAGTATACACATATACATATGTTTACATAAGGATATGTATATATATATATGTATATATATGTGTGTGTGTGTATGTGTGTATGTATATGTGTATGTATATGTGTATACATATATGTTTGTGTAAAAAAAATTAGAGAAAAACCAAGAGGCCATGGATCTGAAAGAGAGCAAGGAGGGGTATATGGGAGAGAGTGGAGGGAGGAAAGGATGGAATGATGTAACTATATGATAATGTTAAATATAAAAGAATTTTAAAAAGAGGAAAAACATTTCAAGTCTTCCAGCTGAACATGAGAAAGAGGTGAGGGACTTGTATAACTACTTTGATATAAAAGAGATTACAGTAACTTAAACTTCTCCTAGTAGGAAAGATTGATGCTTACTTTAAAATTTTTAAGTAAAGCTTCTATCCCCCTTTTTCCACTTTTAACACATTTTTGTAAGAGTTTATCATCACATAAATAGGAATCTTGCCACTGTGGTCATGACAGACTTTGAGTAGGTAGAAAAAGTATGGCATTTGATTTAAAATTTTGTGTCAAAACTCAAACAGTATCTTACAACTGTATTATGTATTAAAACAGGAGCATTTTATGCCTGGGGCACAATATTTATTAAAGTTACTCTGGAAACCATCTGATTGTCTTTTGGCACCTGGTTGAGTAAATCAGAGGATAGCCTATAAAGAACACAACCAACTCAAAGGTTGAGTCACCTACTTTTGTTGTATAGGACAGTAGTCAAGACACACAAGGCAGAGAGAGCAAGGTGCAAGGTAGTGTGTAACTCAAGGAAGCATACAATAGTAAACCAGTTGGTGAAACGTTCTCATGGGCAAGCAGTCAAATACATGGTTTAGGAGTCAACCACCACAAAGCATTTGAACCAGCTATCACAAACAAATTCTAGATTCCCTAAAATCCTGTTTAATGATTCCATGGTATATAATGTCCTTCTTTTAGTTTTTCAATTAGAAAGTACCTACAGTTTTGATTTATTTTCATCTTAATGTATAAATGTATAATATATACAGTATACTTATATATTATACATATATATTACACATACAATATATTTATATATTATATACAATATATTATATAGTCTATTTTACAAAGTATATATATTATATTATATATAATAAATAAATTTATATACATATAAAATTTCCTTTTCTTGGTACTATCCTCCTAAGATCCCAGGCAAATGAAAGTTAACTGACGAGTCTCTCTGGCCCCATCTTGAGGGTCAACAGGAAAGGCTAGAACTGAGCGTGCTTAGTGAGATGTGCAGAAAAAGGCACCCCCACTCCAGCAGGCCCCTGCACAGAGGATCTAGTAACCAGAGTGCATTAAACATCTGCCCCGCTCCTCTCCTAGGGAGCCCCTCTTTCTCCTGTTTCCTGAACATTTCCACTTTACCTTTTCTCTTATTGTGAAGATTGCAGGCCTCGAGATCGGCCTTCCTAGCACAACAGGCAATGAGCACACTTAGGGAAGGAGTTTCTCTAGATGAAGAAGCGGAGACCTGTGAACAAAAGGGTCGCAGCCACAGATATCCTGCCAGGGCTCCTCTCGGAGAGGCAGCCAACAGAGTGCATGTGCTGTTGTATGTCTCGCTTGAAAATTAACCACTTCCGGGAACACAAAAACAGATGAATATTCTAGGCCACCTATGCTATTTAAGGAAAATGCTAGGACAATCAGTCTGTCCCTGCTATCCTTTGAATAGTGAACCCAGCATTTTGTGGTTTTGATGCAGACTTCCAGAATACTAGAGAATAAATAAATTAGGAAGGTTGTTTTGTCCTTACCCCCAGAAGAAATATGAAATTTAATGAGGAAACATGCAGAAAGAATTTAATTTGGGGATTTTTTTTTTTATGAAGCCTACTCATTCCAATCAATGGAGTACAGGTGAAGCAAAGAATGAAATAATTTCTTGGCAAGAGAAGAAAATGTGTTACAATCTAGAATTTATGATTGTTTAGTAATTATTTTTAAATCAAAGTGATTGAAACAACTTGTCAGCATGTCAAGAGTACCTAAAATATTCAGAATAATTCGGCTGATGTTGGTGGGTTTCCTGCCGCATAACCTCTTCTGAATTCTGCCCATCATTTGGAATCACTTGCTTGGTCATTTCCTCCCTCCCCATAACAACTGGTCACTTAGATAAATATTAATTTGTTAACTATTTTTGTTGATGCTTTCATCTGAACATTACTCTCTAGCAGAAGTTGGCCAGGATGGACCGGAATTCCCGAGCATTCCTCCTGCCTCAGCCTCCAGAATCCTGGGATTATAGGCAGAAACACCAACCACACTTGGTAGAATAGAAGTTTTGAAAGTAGTAATACCAGATTCAAACCCATATTACCAAAGCTATTTGAGTTTATCAATGTAGACTACATTCTCTTTAAAGTAATTCACACATAGGCAGTATATCTTATTTTAAAATCTCTCTTACACACACACACACACACACACACAGAGAGAGAGAGAGAGAGAGAGAGAGAGAGAGAGAGAGAGAGAGCCCCAAATGTATCTATGCTTGTAACTTCATGATTATTAAATGTTAAATTTTATTTCAAGGACTATCACAGCTGAGAGAGACAGAACTAGAGAGGAGAGATGAGGCAGACAGACAGACAGAGCGAGAGCGAGAGCAAGAGACTAAGCAAATAGAGTACATATCAGGAAATAGACTAGTATTTTCATGTTAAATTTGAGATGCCTATCACTGACTAGTCCAAGAACTTCTTGCCTTCTACACCCTAGAAATTAAAGTGGTATGGGTTACACACTTAGGAACTGTAAACCAAAATTACTTCAATATAGAATATTTATGAGTCAAGACAATCAACCGTGTACAAAAAATTTACATGGAAGAGAAACAATACAATGTAGCACCTCTAGAAAAATAATTAAAAGTTTTGTTTCATTTACAGATAAGTGCCACACTGAGGATTTACAATACAGTAATTTACTGCAATCACAGGGAGGTTCCATCAAGAAACAAAGTCCTTACACTCCAGAGTTTTCGGAAGGTCTTAGCGGAATGCTTAATTACACACTGAAGATTCCCACATCCTTGGGATTGAGCTGACAAATCATAAAGGATTTTCGTAGCATATATTAGATAAAAGAGTCCATCACATTTCTACTGTTGGTTTAGTGTCTCTGGCAGGTGTGGAGCCTAGAAGAATTGCTTGCTTGATGGTGGTCTTTCTGTATTCTGCAAGCTAGACCTTCCCCGCAGTAACAACGCTGGAATATCTCCAGCCCGTGGGAGCCTTTCCGCCTGTGCTTGGTGCATACCTGACCTTCTTTAAGGACAGGTTTACAGATCTTGGACCAGAAGTGTCTTGCGCAACACAGCCCTGTGGCACAGTCTGATGATCGGAGACAGACAGAGCCTTCTTGTCCTGTGAAGGAGACAGAAGGAAAATGACAGTTACTACTAGGCCTGTACCGTTTCACTAAGACAATTCTAAATGCATTTTTAAATGGGGAGGCTGAGCCTGAAAGCCTTTTTACTACCTTTGGTGTGATATATTTTTGAAGTCAGGGTGGTTCGTCTGGGATATCCATCCCCGGTGTTGTGGTCGTTACCAAGGTTTTCAATGATGCTTTCCTCAATTTCCCCTCGAGGTAAATGGCTGTGGTCAGATGGCATGCATATTCCTAAGAAAGCCAGAAATAATGATTAATCCTCAGGCCGTAATATGTTGTTGCTAACAGCCAAGACAGGCGCAATGGGTTATATAGACACCAGTGTGAGATACCTCACTGCTGTGGCTCCCTTTCTGTTTTACCAAAACTCCCTAGAGAAAGCAGTGTCAATGAGTGTACTGTTGGATCCTATGGAACACGTCAGGTATAGCCATTTTAAATGCTTTCCCACTAATTGTGGTGGAGGCAGCAGAGATATTTCTGTCTATTTTAATACCACCCTTTGGGGTAGGAAAAAGAAATCCAGTCACTTGAAAAAAATTAATCTTAAAAATAACTTCTCTGCTCTGGGTGCTAGCGGCGCAATGCAGTTCCAGCTGCCTAGAAAACTACTATCTCACCCGCTAGTTACTTTTACTGTATAATTTTGATATTACAGAGATTTTAGTTAGTTCAACTCTGGAATGCTGCTGTACCCTAGGAAGTTAGCCACTCTGTAAGTTTATTTCTGGAGACTTCTTTGAGACATTAACATTTTGTGGATCTGTGGTTGTCCGGAGAGTACTTCTTTGAAGGTAGCTGAGGGTGGAGGGAAGGGGGGGGAAGGGGTGGAGAGCTAGGGCTGTAAGTGGTACAGAGATCTCTTTAAAAATCTGGCCAGCAGAGTTTAAGCATTCAACACCCCCCACGCCCACCCCCACTCCCAGTTGACAACAGTTTTAACAGCCAGAAACCTTGAGAGAGAAGAGAGTTTAGCAAAGTCACAGAGAGTCCACTTTAAGAAAAACGTCTGGCTTCCCCTTTTAGAATGACCTCTCCCCCTTTCTCAAGTGCCCCAAGGCTCCCTGAGGATAATTGTTTGATGGAAGGGTCCACTCTCAGGTCTTGTTGTTAGATCACAGAGGGAGGTAGGGGAAGATAAACTTTCAAGTGCTCAAACACAAGCTTGTGAAGATACAACAGGAGGACCCTTGCACGATGAGCACCCGTTTGCAGGTGGTGCCGTGGCTTTGACAGAACCAGAGCATTTCATTTGATTCCCTGGCTGCTCAAAGGGCAAGGTGGTTCCAATTTAAAAGGGAGTCCAAGACTCACCGTTTTTGCAGTAGTTCCCGGGGCAGCACATAGCATGCCTCATGCAGCGTTTCCTGCGCTTTCGGCAAGCCAGACAGATCTGTACGCCTCCGATGCCAGCTGCCCCGCGGCTGGGACTGGAGCAGTACTCGTCAGTGCTGCACTCCTCATCCTCTGCGCACGGGTAGGGCTACGGGAAGGGAGCGGACTGGTGAGCAACTCAAGCATCCCGGTACCCACGCCTTCACCGTCCTCATCTGCGTTCTCAAAAGCTCTCTAAGCGCGTTGCTCTCAGTGCAGTGATTCCAAACACACCCCAAATCTCAAACACCTAGGATACCCCACTCCCTCCTCTCTGAGACCCCATCGGGATCACAGAGTCCTCCATCCCGGAGACCGCTCTCACCTGGTAGTTGTCAAGAGTCTGGTACTTGTTCCCGCCCTCATAGAGAACTCCGGGTGCCACGCTGACAGCAGAGCCCGGCTGCCCCCCAGCACCACCCAGCGGTGGGGGCAGGTTCTTGATCGCGTTGGAATTGATGAGAACTGAGTTCAAGGTGGCGCTGGCTCCGAGTAGAGGGAGGCTGCAGAAAGCCATCATTGTAAACATGACCAAGAACCGGACAGCTGCCACTGCGCACACAACCGTCATCTCCGAAGGTTGCAAACAGGAAAAAGTCAGGAAAAGAGAGGTCACTTTGCACGGCGGCTGCAGAGTCTGGACTGCGGAAACCCCAACTTCGGAATCTCGGCGGGTGGAGTCTCGGCTGCCAGGCGCTCGGCTCTGCACCGCCACCGCCACCTCTGGCTGCCTTTATACTCAGGCTCCCAGCCTTCCCAGCTCCTCAGGGAAGACAACAAAGCCGGGATGGGATTTCAAAGCTTTGGGAGGAGCTGGGAGGGGGAGTGTTTGTGTATCGGAAGCAGGGAGGACTTTGACACTCTCCCCCTCCTCTCGCTCCTCCCTTGCACTATGGTCCCCTTGTCCAGCTCACCTTAGAGTGTGGGTTACTAAAGCATTAGAGTCTAGTCTGAACTATAATAATTAATAATAATAATAATAATAATAATAATAGGCGGAAGAAAGCGCTCTGCTGTGGGGTCGGGTTAGTTCTGTCTGAAATCCTTGTCAGAGTTAAAAGTGATAGAATATACAAAACCACGTTTCTTCTCTTCCCCTTATGCGTACCCTCGCTTTCTGTGCACGCAAATAATATTCAGTATTAAATACAACGCAAGCAGTCATTCAAAGGCTTTCTGAAGGGCCCAGGTGGCTACTATAGTTGCTGATTAACCCTTTAGCTAGCGCGATTTGCAAATGAGGTTCTTGTCTTTTAAGTTTGTCTAGTTGCTTCCCCCCTTCCTACACTCCCCCCAACCCTACACACACAAGGAGGAAAAAAAAATGTGCAAAGACAAGAAAATTTGCACATCAAATGAGGATGCCAAGGGAAGAACTAATTCGCTTTTGATGGTGAGTTTGGGGGGTTGGGGTGGAGGCGAGAGACTGCCGTTTGGAAATTAAATCAGGGATGGAGGGAAGAGGGAAATGGGCACCCGATAATCAAACTATTTAATGTGGTTCTTTGAATCTGGTCAGTCCCAGCAGTAGATGAACTTGATTAAGCAGACACGTGAGATCAAAGTGGCTGTGAGCCAGAGCGGACAGGGTCCCTGAGCCTGGTCAGTCCTCTTTCCCTGGTTCCCGGTTCCCAGCGGTGGGTTAATAGAAGGAGATAAGAAATCCCGAAGGCTTAGCTCCAGGCTTCCTCATTAGAGTTTCATATCGCTGAGCAGGAGAAGGCTTGCTTTTGATCCCAAATCAAACCTCGTCCACGACAGGACAGGAGAGGAGGAATAACCCTCTAGGGAGATAACAGACCACCTCCTGGAAAACGAACGCTGAACCTAAATCAGAGAATGAATTTGAAGTGTGTTAAATAAGAAACAACGTGGACATAAGAACGCTGTGCTTATAAATTAGAGGTAGTGTATTGAGAGAATAAAAGTCAAGTCCCTTCTCCAACGATTGCGGTGATAAAAGAGACAGTTGTCATGATAGGACAAAAGATAAGCATGCATTAGTAATGTTTAAGGACAGATTGATAAATGGGAGACCATAAGCAACTGTTGTGTGCGATTGAAGAGGAAGAAATATCTGAAATCATTGTTAGAGAGGTGAGCTGAGATGTGCTTTGTAGCCCCTTAGCTTCTGGGTCAGCTTATCCACAACACTGCCCTATCCATAATAGTCACTCTTGGGAAGCCCTCTCCCGCACCTATAGCCAATGATAGTCTTGCACAGCTATAATCCTGAAGTTGAGCTAGGAGGGATATTATGAAAAATATTTAAATTATCTGTTTGGTGGATTTCAGAACTTAAGTGTCTTCTAAGTAACTTTTAATGTTGCCTCAATTCTTTAATGATACACAATGCTGTCCCCACTCACCCCAAACTCCATTCATCCCGGAGAATTTCTGGTGGTTTGCTGAAAGTCCAACATGGATTAAATCCTATGTACTTATCTGACTTTTATTAGGAATATGTACAATTGTGTAGCAGGGCTAGCTACACACAGATGTTTAGAAGATTTGAAAACAAAGAAAAGGCTTTAAAATTTTGTTTAAAAAGTGAATATTAGAAACAATAAAGGAGGGACAAGTGGTGGTGGGACCTCATATTGCATTCAGCATATTACTAGCATTGTCAGTGATCAATGTGTTGAGTATTTAAATTAAAATTTAAATTCATATGACATTGCAGAGGAGGGAATGAGACCCCCCCACACACATCCATTTGGGGGAGTAAAAAGATATTTCCCTGGTCCTGTTATCCTGGTTAAATAATTCTAGAAATACACATATGCTGCACTCCTCTTCCTGTATTCTGACGGAATGATACCTGCTTAATACACCTACTCTAAATTAGCAGAACTGCAGAACTTAGCTCACCAAGAACTGAGGCCCGAAGTTGAAACCACAGTAGCTAGTTTGGTAGCTAGTTTTGGCACTCCCTACTTTTTATGTTCCTTCTGAAGATGTGAATGGGTCCACACCTGAGGCTTAAGCACTCTGCTTGTTGCTTCAATAAAAAAAATGAACAGCCACATTCAAGTTACTTAGGAAAAGAATGATACAGGGAGAAAAAATATGCCTGTTTCAGTGCAGCCTATTCTCCATTCGTGAACACGTGCTTTGATTTAGCTCCCGGGTGTTGTAATCATGAGGTAAAGACTGAAAGATGCTCACTGCTCCTTCAGTGCCAGAGAACACCCAGAGGAGCCCTTTAAGAACTTTTCTCTAATATACTGAAGTCAGGCTCTTTTTAGTCTATCCAGTAGCCTGGGAAGCATGGTAGCAGGTCACAGAGGGAGTTTTGTTGTTGTTTGGTTTGGTCTTTGTTGTTGCTTTGGGGAGTCTTTGTGCTTTAAGACCACTGGAATCTCACTATGTAGTCTGCATGTTAGATTTTCTGTCACATTCCTCTGTTTTTAGAATTATGGGCATGTATCACTACATCTGGCTTAGTTTTGTTAATTAAATAGATTTTACTTGGTACATATTGGTCAGGATTAAAAAGAAGAGAGATCCAGGAACTAGAACCACGCCCCAGTCTCAGGAAGTTAGAGGTCACATGACTCCAAGTCTCTTGCAGCCCAGTGATGGAGTGGCAGGCATGTCTGTTAAACTTAGTTTACTTTTGTTCTGGAAGGAACTTTGTCTCTTGTTTGATATGCTCTAAATATGACCACAGTTATATTTTATATACAATATGAATACAGTTAATATTTTATATTAGATTTAAAACTAAGAGGAATGTTTATCACAGTGGAATCGAACTGTGTATGTAACTCAAGGGTAGCATAAGACATGGCTGTCTTGGAACTTGCTCTGTAGATCAGGCTGGCCTGGAACAGAGATCCGAATGTCTCTGCCTCCAGAGTGCTGGAATCAAAGGCATGGGCCAATCCCACCTACCCGGTCTAACATTTAACTTTTCCTTCAATAAGAAAACATGGAGTAGGTGGTGGGTGTTGCCAGCATCTTCCTTGGCACCAGTCTTGAATTAATAGCAAAGATTTCCTATTCCTGATGTTTAATAAAAAGAGTTGGACTTTATCCTTGACTTTTTAAAAGATTCTTAGTTTCTATGCTCATCCTGATAGAACTTTTAAAAGATTCTTAGTTTCT